GGGGGCGCGCGGAGCCTCGACCGCCCCCTCTAGCCCGCAGGCAGTCGCTCTCCTCCCACTCCTAGGCCCGCGGGCCCTCCTCTCCAGCCCCGCGGCGCTCGCCGCAGCCCGCGCGTGCTGCCCGGGTTTGCGTGCCCCAGCGCGGCGTCGGGAGAGGCCCCTCGGCCTGGGCCCGAGCTGGGCCCGCGTCCACACGCGTTCGGCGTGCTGAAGGACGGGAGCAGCTTGCAAGAGCGATCGGAGGCGGAGAGGTGGGTGTGCAGGGAGGGTGCAGCCTCGTGCCGAATCCTCTCGCCTTTCCCCTGGCAGATCTGGGAGTCCGTCCCGTACCTCGCCTCGTACGCGAGCCCTGCGCTGAAGGAGGGCAGGAGCATCCCGTTACTCCCGCAGGAGCTGGAGGTCGCCTGGAACGGTAAGAGCGGGCGTGCCCCGGGAGAGCGCGTGCTCGTACGCACCGAGGCCGGGGATCCAGCCCGTTCCCGCTGGCACGGGGCGCAGCTGGGCGCGCTGGCAGCCTGGCGGGGCCGGCCGCGGGCTGCGCGAGGCCACGCAGGGGTTAAGCGTTGGGCCGCCTGGGCTTTTTCCTCTCTTTCCGCTGCCCTTCCCCAGGGGATCTGTGTCTGCTGATGTGGTCCCCTCCCCGATAGCTCCATCCCGTAGACCGATGTCTTTGAGGAGCCAGACAGGCATTAGCGAGCAGGGCCAGGCTGGGCAGCAGCCAGACCTGCTCCTCTGGCTTTGACCATTTTAGGTAATGCTCCAGCTCCCGACTTGGCCAACCTCTGTCCACATAAACAAGGCGCTGCTCCGGCCGGCTACCAGTGGGAAGGAGAGCTTGGCCCCAAGCCCTCCCCGGCCCCCAGCAGGGCCTGGCTCTCTGGCTGGGCACAGCTTCTTGCGCGGCGCCCTCCCTGTCCCGCCGGCGATGCTGTCCCGGGGGGCCTGGCCCTGCGCCCCTCCCTGCCCCAGCTGCGGCTCCTGGCAGAGGGGCTCCGGGCAGCGCCCGGAGGCTGTTCCCCCGGACAGAGGTGCCCCTGGAAAGAGTTTGGAGCTCGGCAGGCCGGCACCCCCCCTGCAGATGCTCCTGTCCCTCCCCTCCTTGCTGCAGGCTGAAGAGACGCTGGGCCCCAGCCGGACAGAGGGGTGACAGCCCGCTCCTCGGGCTGGCAGCGGGCTTAGCCCCGCTCTGCCTCTGAGGGGAGGCTTGGGGGTCCGGCAGCTCCCTCCGCCCTAAAAGGAGGCGGGAGCTGAAAGCTGGGCAGGCAGCAGGGGTTGGGAGAGGCAGAAAAGAGGCCCTTTGGAGAAGCAGAGCAGAGGAATCCCGGCGGCACCGCTGTCCTCCAGGCATGACAGGCTGACCCGGAGGTACCACATGCCACGCGC